GTTTTGCTTACAAAGAAACCCAGGCCAGCTGCAAGCTCAAGGTCACACTAGCCAGGCCAAACAGGTTTCTGAATTCAGAAGGGACTAGGATTTGCCAGTCATTAAAATTTGGATTTCACTCCTTATGAAGATCATTAAAGAAAGGTTAGAGAACTGTTCAGGCCTGGTGAATAACTGGACAGTCAACGCTTATAGGTCTTGAATGGAAGATGATGGGGAACAGTAGAATGGAGGAAGGGTTCCCCAAATAAGGTGGGTTGCTGAAAGATAAGGAAGAACTGGGGAGGAAGCTGTGAGTAAAGGTGGCATTCCAGGCTTCACTGAAGACCGGAGTAGAGAGGATGGCTGTGGGAAGGTGGAGGGCATGCTCAGGGTCTTTCTTAAAGAGATTGGAGGGGGTGTGGCAGGACCCTCCCTGACATACCTCCTCTGTGGTATCTTCCAGGCCCAGAGGCTGCTGGGCCCAAGGAGGCCCCACCGGTGCTTCTTTGAATCCTTCATCCGAACCCTCATCATCGTGTGTGCCGCCCTGGCTGTGGTACTCTCCTCCGTCTCCATCTGTGATGGCCACTGGCTCCTGGCTGAAGACCGCCTCTTTGGGCTGTGGCACTTCTGTACCACCTCCAACCAGACCGGGCCACACTGCCTCAGAGACCTGAGTCAGTCCCATGTGCCAGGGCTGGCTGTGGGCATGGGCCTGGCTCGCAGCGTGAGCACCTTGGCCGTGGTGGCTGCCATTTTTGGCCTGGAGCTCCTCATGGTATCCCAGGTGTGTGAGGACCTCCACTCACGGCGCAAGTGGGCCCTGGGCTCCGTCTTCCTCCTCATCTCATTTGTGCTCTCCTCTGGTGGGCTCCTGAGCTTTGTGATCCTCCTCAGGAACCAGGTCACGCTCATCGGCTTCACCCTGATGTTCTGGTGCCAGTTCACTGCCTCCTTCCTCTTCTTCTTGAATGCCATCAGTGGCCTGCACATCAACAGCATCACCCATCCCTGGGGCCAACCAAGGAAATTTTAGCCTCCCCCACCACTCCGAAGGCGTCTGATTCTATAAGAAAGTGTGGTCAAGATGGGACTTTTCCAACGTGTGACCTCTGGTGGGATAAGGGTGGGACAGTGACCTCGAAACTGCTGCCTCTTGGCCAGTAACTTTTGGACAGTTAGCCAGAAATGGCCCAGGGACCTTTGCAGCTGGTCTGCAGGGCCAGAAGTCAGGAGGGTGCCTCAGTGCCACCAGCTGCACAGGCTTAGCCAAGTTATTAGAATGTAGATTTTAGAAGAACACATTTTAAAACCCTTTTCTTGAATCCTTCTTCCTGGGCAGCTCTGGTAACTAGTGCTTGGGCTGGCTACACATTTTAGGGCTCTGTACTGGGATATAAGCTGTAGGGTTCCTAGGGCCTCCCAGGGTTGCTAAGAGTGGGTCATTTTTGCCAGATAAGGGTGTCTAGTCAGTGCCTAGGACTTTTCTTCTACCAGCTCAAAGGACCTTTGTGTGCATTTCCCTGCTTTAGCTGTGGTCATGCCAGGGAGGCAGAGTTCAGGATTCCCTCAGAGTTTCTTGCACATGGTAGGTTTTCAAACTATTTGTCTTGATTCGATCCCTGCCCTTTGTGGAACCCAGTAATTTCTGGATAACCCCAGCTTGCAGCAGCTGGCTGACTCACTTTGAGAAAAATTCTGAGCAAGACCTCCAGGAAGGTCCACCTGATTTCTAATGCACAGCCCTCCCTGAGGTGAGAGTGTGTGTGTCCATCTTTGCTGGGGTCCAGACAGCCTCAGGGTGCCATATTTGATCCTAGAACACATTTCAAAGAACACACATCTGGACCTTGGGTCATAGTTAATAACTATCCTGGGGATGACCGCAGGTGAAGGGGACCAGGAACCAGTGGAGATTTCCATCCTTGCCAGCAGATCAGTGTTTGGGTGCCCTACCTTACCCCATTTACAGTCCTTTTTTTGCCCTCAGCGCATTCCATTCTACACTATTCCCATCCCGCTCCCCTACCCGATGAATTCTGGTCTACCTTGGTTCATTCTGGCTGCCACTAATCCCATGAGGTTTTGGTTTCTGCCCTGCCCTTGTCATGGCTGGTCCTTTTCCTGGGCTGGCCTGAGCACCTATACCTACCTCTTGTGATTTTTTTAAAAATTTTTATTCCAAAATGTATATAGTCTGTGGAGATGCTTCAAGAAAGGTGTTGTGGACCATCTGGTATTTTGGGAAGCAGAACTCATTACCGTATAGGCTTGGTTTTTAGTCCTGGAAGTGGGCACCTGGCTTTCTCGCCAGAAGCAGTCTACAAGAATCAAAGGGTGACCTCCTTGTCTCTGCCGGGGAGAGGTGTGAAGGTGGAGAGCCAGAGCAAGAGAGGAATAGCACCCATCCATGGTCACCCAAAGCCAGGACTAGAGCTGGCCCACCCACCAGCAAGATGCTCGTTCCTCTACGCTGGGGGAGAGTTCTCCACTCTGTCCAGAATGTGTTCCCCTGAGCACACGTAGGTTTTATTTTGTAAAAGGGTTCAAATATAAAGTCATCTTTAATCCTCACAAGGCTGGCAGAGAGGGAGTATTGACATTGAAGGGAACTGATATCCAAGGAAGAAAGGATAAGACTAAAATGGCCAATGGGTCAGGGAGACAGGCCGCGTAAAACACACAGCCTTGGAACATGAGGGTTTGAGACCAAAAACCTTGGACTGGACTTCTGCCACTTCATTGCCCATAACTTGGGAAAATTGTAGGCCCTTGGTAAACCTGTTTCTGTTTTGTCAAATGCGATCATGCCCACCTGCAGTACCTGCATGGGAGAGCTGTGGATAACTGACCGAAAGAGTAAGAATAGAGGGACACCTTATATCATGCTAGGGTTACTAAAAGGGAGCTGGGGGTCTTGGGGCTCTCCTAGCCTCCACGGGGACTTGATCAGATTAATTCAGCTGTTGTATTGAGGCTCTAGGATGAAAGCTACTGGGCAGGTGAGTTGCAGTGAGGGTCCACCTAGGGTCAGGGGCCTCAATTTCTCATGTTTCCTGGGATTCTAAGCTTGTCCCTGAAAACTGGAGCATGGATCAGGGAAGCCCCATTCTCTAGGAAGGGGTAGGGGCATTGGCCAGAGCATCTTCCCTCACCTTGTCTCAAAAGCAAAAAGATTGACAAATATAGACCAAATCTCACCCCAGTAACTATTTATTTCCCTGCTCCCTTCTGGGACTCCTGAGCTGCTCCTCCCAGAAGAACACAACAGACCCAAATTCCAGGCCCTCTCTCCCCACCTCATGGTGACCTAAGTTCCATAGGTTCAGTTCTAAGGAATTCTCACTGTACCCGCCATCCCCACACCAAGGCCTGGAAGAGACTGTTAGTCACAGAAGAAAGCACATGATATCTGCCAGGAAAACGAACTGTCTTGTAGCAGTGTCCTGCCCTCTTAGTTTCCAGCTTGACTTCTGTCCATGGGTGGCTGGCCCTGTTCCATCCTCAGGTGCTGGTCCTGCGGGAGCATTGGCTAGGCCCTGAGAGGCTGGCCTTAGTGCTGTTTGTAAGGCTGCTGGTGCCGTTGTTAAAGGAGGAGCTGAGGGCCACGGGACGCAGTGGGATCTCATGGAGGTGCCACTGCCGCCACTTCTTCTGTACCTCCAGCTGCACCTGGCCCCAGAAATCAGCTGTTAGCCCAGGAGGGAAGAACAAAAAGGACCCGGTACCCAGAGTTCTGTTCACCCCGCTGGGGCCTCTGCACAGGCCTTGCCACTCTTGCCTAGTGGTCATGCCCTGCCCTCTCTTTCAGGCCAGATTGACCAGTTCCTGCCCGGATGTCAAGGTATTGAGAGCTTCCTCTGGGCATAAATCAGCTGCAGTTTCACTACTGTGCTGGGAAGAAGGGGCTTATGGTTTCACAAACTCCAGAACTCCAACATCTACTTCACCTGTGACAACTGGACGCATTCCTATGAAGCCATCTAGCTTAGAACTTATCTGGAGGCCAGAGAGCTATTCTTTGTAAATTTCCTTCACGATCCTCAGCCATAACAGCAAAACCTTTTGAGGCTAGGCTTAATACCTGATTTTTGTAAAATAGAGGTTATTCTCATTCACCATTCAAGTGCAGTGAACCAGATAGATGGTCAACAGTCACAGGCTTTGCTTGTGTACAATGCTATGTTCAACTAATGACTGCACAGCTTCTATGTGCCAGGAACCTCATGTCCTGACACATGCTCTGGGCAGGGGCAGAGGCTTCAAGGAGTCAATGCTCATTTGGGGAATCTCTGAGAATTAATTTGGCAAACGTCATCTGAGTCACTCATCTTAGAGATGAATCCCAGAGAAGGGCAGTGACAGATCATCCAGCAAGCAGCAGAACAGTCGGGAGCCCGGGTTCTGGTTGGTGTACCTCCACTTTCCTCCATTTCCCCGAACTTCCCAAAGATAAGAATCACTTGGAGTGCTTGTTGAAAAACATTCGTAGGCTCCACTCCAGACCATTGTTTGCTGAATTAGAAATGGGGGTAGGACCCGGCAAGTTTACCAAGCTCTCCGGATGACCTGTTGCTCCCATGAAGTGAGCTCAGGCTCCTAGAAGACAGGCCTAAGCCAGGAGGCCCTGGCCTCACCCGCCCACACCCCTACTCCTCCCCACCCCCTTTCAGGGTAGCTCCCTTTGAAGCGGAATCCAGTGGCTAGGGAGCTTCTTCAGGCATCTGGTCCACCCAAGCACACTCACCTCTCTGTTGAGGAAGCAGTAGAGGACTGCCACTAGCAGGCCCTGCGGAGGGAGCAGAGGCAGCAGGGGGTCAGTGTAGATGCTCCAGCACCAGCCTCCTTCCTCCAACCTCCTCCCCAGTTCTTTGATCACCAGGCCCAGGCTCACTACCCCCACTTTGGAAGTGTTCCAGAGCCTTCCCACACCTCTCACCTCGGGGTGTAGGGGGTCCTCTTATGGGCCCTCCCAGTGTCCCTGGCTGTGCTGGCATCATTCAGCACAGATGGCTCCTTGGGGTCAAGGACAGGGTCTCTTTTCATCTGTCATTCCCAATGTCTACTCATATGGCATCAGTAAAAAAGTAAGGGCTGCTGACTTGGGCCATGGGGAAGGCACGTCACCTAGACTGGTCAGGTGGGCCATTTGGGAGAAGCAGGGAGTTGTGGCACCTAAAACACACCTGCCCCAGGAGGGGGAGTTGAGGCCAGCCCATGTGAGACCCTGGCACCTAAGTGGGCTCATTTTCAAGATAAGCTGGAAATCTGGAGATGGTTAAACATGGACAACTATTCAAATTGAAAAATATGTGAATATGTAGTTAGAACAAAGCTTGCGTGCAGGTCCTGGCTAGCCAGCAGTGGGGCTTGACTTCTGTGCTTAATGCGCAGGTGAATGCATTGGGGGCTACATCTGCCTTGTGTTCCCTGGCATGGTGGGGTTCTATGCCTATCAGGACCCTCCCTCCTTGATACCTCTTGTTTTCCTGATAATGTCCCTTGGGATTCTGGCATGGATCTCTGCCAGAGTAGGGATTACAGTCTGGTTATAGGATTTGAGCCTAAGAGGTCTGCACGGAACCATGAGCTGTAAGCAGGGTCTTTGCACTGCGAATACCCTGCTAACCTCCTCAGGGACCTACCACAGGTCAGCCTGGTCTTCCTTACAGGCCCTGCCTTCAGTCTTCTCCATCTGGTCAACACCTTCCCCTTCAGAGGTCTGGGTGCTACAGCTCTGAATTCAGGTGGCCTAACCCTCCTCCCTACTCCTCTCTGGGCCTGCCCTTACCACATTGGAAAGGATTCCAAAGAGCAATGAATCAACCTGTCTGATAAGCTTAATATGTAGGACTGCTGAGGGTTATTGGCATTTAACAAGTCTTAGTGACGAAACGAAAAGGATTTGCTTTAGAATGTCAGGCATCCATGACTGCTGCCTAGAATGGGGACAATTTGGAGTGTGGGGCAGCAAACACTAAGGCAGTGGTTTCCAAGTTATCCTGCACGTTAGAATCACCTGGGAGCTCTGCCCAGGTTGCATTCTGTACTCCAAATCTAAATGTCTTAGAGTGGGAGCATCAGTAGCTTTGAAAGTTTCCCCAGATGGTTCAAACAGGCATCACTTACTAGAAACCACTGTCAGAAGGCGTGATAGTCAGGCTTTGAAATAAAACAGCTGAATCTGAGCATAGCTTGGCTTGCATAATTGTGGACTTCTGGATTCCAGGTGCTTCCTTTAATCCTTACCAAAGCCCTAGGAGGTAGATGGGAGGATTCCCTCCACAGTGAGGGAACTGAGTCACAGGGATTTAGGCAAGACTGGAGCTGTGTGTGCTTGGCCCAGAGCTGGCGGTCAGGCTGCCAGCTAAGGTTGTCGCCCATCTCACTGGGCTCAGGATTGCCTGGGCCTCACCAGTCTGGGCCATGAGAATCCAGGGACAGGTTTTCACTGTTCAAGTGAGGGCAGGAGCCCTGGGTGAGGGAAAAGTAGCTGCGCCCCAGGTGTGTATAGGACAAGCCTCACATAGCTAGCAACTTTAAGAAACTCCACAGTTTTTATACATTTATTAAAAATGAAATCTTTAAAGAATTTTAATGACATGGAGAAAGTTCACAATGGGCATGACAGAGAATTAAACAAGCAGGACACAAAACCACATATCATGATCCCAATTACATGTGTGTGGGGGTAGATCTGTGTGTGTCTTCCTGGGTGGAAAAGAGACTTAGAGGTAAATACGTCAACATCTTAACAGAGGTTATTACTGGGTTATGAGATTATGGATGGATTTTTCTTTTTCTTTTAACTTTTCCTTATTTTCCAGAGGAATTCAATAAACGAGTATTATTTCTACAATCAGAAAGAGCTAATATGACAGTGATAATGGTATCGTGGTTTTTTAAGCATGTCTTTTAGAAATACATACTAAAATACTTACTTTTGAAATAAAATGATGTCTTGGATTTGCTTAAAATGATGGGCGATGGCATGGAGGAATTGGATGGGGTTGGAGATGAAACAGGATAGGCCATTGGTAATGGCCACACAGGGGTTCACTTTACTATTCTCTTCCCTTTTGTATATGGAAGAAATTTTCCATAACACAAATTTTAAAAATATATATTATATATAATTTAAATATATATAATTTAATTGTATAATATATAATGATATAGTAACATAATATGTTTGTATGTGAACAAAGGTTCTTTTTAAAAAAATCTCTTAGAGATCTTTTTTCTTTGTAAACATTTCTATGGGAACATTAGGAAAGTGCTTTTGGTTTTCTCTCAATAAGCCATTCCCCAGAGAGAAGCCAAATGGCCTTTGCTTGGGTAGTCCACAGCCCCAACCACAAGCCCCAGCTCCAGGGGCAGGCAGTCCCCATCCAGACAGGGAGGCAGACCTGGGTCACTATGGTCTCTGAGAGGTCAGTACTCTGTCAGCTGGGTCAAGGCCTTCTATCCATCTGGACCTGGAATCCTTTACCTGCTAAATGGGCCATTGTGAGCCCAGCCTCCACACATGTTATAAGAGCCGTGGGCATGAAAGCTTTTTGGCCCAGAGGAGGAGAATCATGGGTTACACAAGAAGCCAGGTGTTCTAGAGGTCTGGGGTGCTGCTGGGGGACTCTGGGCAGAGGAGACAGCTCTGGGGTGGAGTCTGAAGGTATAGGTTAGGGCAAGACTCAACTCAACTCAATATTGTGCTCCTCCCTGGAACCTGAGAATGACAGATGACCCTGGTCACGCCCACCCTGAACAGAACTCTGGGAATGAGAGACGTTCTGAGCAACCACCCTGAGGCCATGGCCAGCCTGGTGAGGAATACTCTGCAAGATGATCAACCTGGCTTCTTTAGCAAAACCCATTGGGAAAAATTTCTCTCAGGCTCCAAAGCTTTTATCAGTAGGTTTTTCCTGGGAACTAGCTTGTTTTCATCTATGGATACTGTAAATCTTGAAATAGATTGTGTTTCTGTCTTCGCTTTGGCTACTGGGAAACTCAAATCAAATTTATGACCCACCTCTTTCACCCTTATAGGATTTTATCAAATTCGTTTTTGTGTATGAACTCTTTTGACTTTATTTTCTTTTTTCACTGATCCCTCATCTACTTGTTTTTTGTCCTCTGTATGCTTTTCCCGAAAGCGACATCACATTGTTTCTGGAAGGAGATAGCTCTGAGTAAATAAAGAAATAACCTTTTGAAGTTTGGAATTCATGTTAAGAGTCCCTTCTGTTCAAACATCTTTGCTACCTTTTTTAACCTCACAACATCTTGTTAAATAAGTAGGTAGGTGACTTTTACCCTCACTTTTTTCTTTTCTTTTAAGTTGGTTTTTACTTTTAATAAGGTGTATATGCACATAGTTTCAAAGAGTCAAACGATTTTTGTCACAAAAAAACAGCAGTCTCCTGACACTCCCCCGACCCCCATTTCCTGTTCCTCAGAGGCAACTACTTGGAACTCTCTTAACGGATTCTAAATAATATGCTGATGGTGCTACTTCTGGATTTTTCAGTTGGGGGCATTTTTATGGACTTCCCAGTACGACCATGAGGATATTATTATTTGAAACGCCCTCCCACGATGCTCATCTCCCTGCCCCAGTTTTTGATGGTTCAGCCATAGCTGTCAGCGCTTACATTACTGTGACTGTGAAGATGCTGTTGAGAGTTGCGTAATATAGCATGCTAGAGTTACTCTTCCCTTTTGTTTTTCTTGGAGTCAGTGTCTCTCTCCTTAGTTTTATCTCCCACCCCCATTTGACTGGTTCCCCTCCGTCACACAGCACAGTGAGGTCCCTGCCTCCCTTGGGTCTCTGCCAGATGAGACATCCACCTTCCCAAACCGCACTGCTGAACTCTTCCGGGAAGATCTGGCTTTAAATGGCCTCCAGGTTTCTCTAAGGAAAGAAAGAACGCCTCTTTTCCTAAAGTCATAGTCCCTGAAACTTACCTGGAATGAGCCAAGGGCCAATTCAAAAAACAGCTGAATCTCCATGGCATCTTCTGGGGAGAGGGCAAAGACGATGTAGTGGACTCCGAAGAGGGGGATCAGCAGGAGGGTGGACTTGGCTAGACGCCTGGGGACACAGAGACACAGAGACATGCTGCAGTCTCCCACCCTCTCCCCTACCTGTGGGCACAGGTTCCATACGCCTCCTCTCTTGCTTCATTGCAGGAGGCTTCGTAGCAGTGTTCCCATACTTTTTTGTTTTTACTTTTTATTTTGTAGAATTTCTGACTCCCACGGACCCATCACCCAGATACAATATTTATCAACCCATGGCCAATCTCTAAACTTTCTGATCATGCACCCCACCAGTAAAAACATCTGAACTTGGACCAACCCAAATAGCTATTTATAAATTATATACATATATGACTCCCATTCTAGGTCTAATGTATTATCAGCAAAGCTAGCATCCTTATTTGATAATAAATAAGAAGTGTTTTCATTTTCTTCCGAGGTTGGAGTTGCCCAATTTAGCAAATAAAAATAGAGGATGCCCAGTTTAATTTGAATTTCGGAAAAACAGTATTTTTTTTTTTTTTTGGTGTGAGTACTAAAAAACTATTGTTTATGCAAAATTCAAATTGAATAGGCATCCTGTATTTTATCTGGCAACTTTATCCTGGATGCCCAACTCTCCCCTACTTTGGAGCCTACTTCTCTAAAGACATTCTAGGGAATCTGCCACCAAGAAATCCAGGCCACTGACAGATTCTCAAAACTCTGAACTTCATGAAGAAAGCTCTTGTCGTACACTGATTCATCTTTAACATCTGTCATGGGCTGAATTGTGTTCCCACTCAAATTCGTAAGTCAAAGCCCTAACCAGCAGGATCTGAGAATGTGGCTGTTTTTTGGAGTTAGGGCCTATAAAGAGGTGAATAAGTTGAAGTCATTGGGATGGAGCTTTAATCCAATCAACTGGTTGGATAAGAGGAGGAGACACCAGGGATGAACACACAGAGAAAAGGCCCCGTGAGGACCCAGCAGGAAAGTGTCTGTTTACAAACCAAGCAGAGAGGCCTTGGGAGAAACCAACGCTGCCAACACCTTGATCTTGGACTTCTGGCCTCCAGAACTGTGAGAAAATTAATTTCTTTTGTTGAAGATACCCAGTCTGTGGTATTTTGTTATGGCAGCCATAGAGAACTAATATAGCATCTCTCTTTAACATCTTAAAGGTTTTAAAGTATTTTTGCATTATACATCTCCTTAAAAATCTGATGAAAGCTAATGTCATTCTTCCCTGAAAAATACACCTGCCTACACAAACTTCTCTGAATTTGGGTCCCTGAAGTCCATTGCTGACTCCCTAGCCTTACTCCAAGAGTGATATCTCTGCCTCCTAGGATCCTGCCGAGGTTTCTTATCTTCCCACCCCAAATGTCTCAGGTTTCACAGTGAACCCAATCCCTCTCCCCCCATTTACATTATAAACTCTTTGGAACCCGGTTGTTTTCCCTTCTCCATCTCCTATAGTGCCTAGCACCAGCTGGGTAAACAGTAGGTGCTCAGTAAATGTGTGCTGACTAAGTGTGTCTAGGTCTCTGCCTTCCACTTACTTATAATGGTTCACTTCATTTCCTCTTGTTTCTTGGGTTCTAAGTTTTCTCATCAGGATTCTTAGAATGTTTATAAAAAGGATGAAATTAATCTGTAAAACACAAGGCAGAGGGGGCACTAAAGGTGATTTGCATACCCCCCAGAAGTCACTGCAGACCACACCCAGGATACACCCAAGATGGCACATCAGTGATTCCCCATCCCCACCCCTTGTCCTAGAAACAAGCTGTCTGTAGGCCTTTAGAGGCACGACATCCCTCCTAGCACTGGGTTGTAGGAGCTCTAAATTGGCTCAGCTGCTGCAGGATTCCTCACACTTGGAGTGTATTGGAACCCCCCGGGGATCTTGTTAAAATGCAGGTCTGGGTGGGCCTGAGATACTAACCAGCTTCCAGGGAATGCCAGACCTGGTCCTTGGACTACACTTTGAGTAGCAAGGCTTTACAGAGATGTTCTTAAAGTTTAGGGTGCAGATTGTTGGGCACCCTCCCCGCAGAGGTCACAGGTCACAAGTCTGGGGTGGGGTGGGACCCAAGAACTTGCATTTTCAACAAGCCCCCAGGTGATGCTGAAGCTGCCCGTCTAGGGACCACACTTCAAGAACTGCTTCAGAGTCTTCTTTTTTTGAACACCTACAGCACCTGGTATTCCTAGGTGGTCTCCCATCCAAGTACTAACCAGGCCCGACCCTGCTTAGCTTCCGAGATCAGACGAGATTAGGCACATTCAAGGTGACATTGCCATAGACGGCTTCAGAGACTTATAGTCACTTGGCAGCTCAACCACCAGCTCCAGGAAGCCATCCTTGATTACCTCCCTTTCCTAATTCGTTGTAGTTAGGGGCGATGTTACTGTGTAAGAGCACTGGAAATATTTGAGAGGGGCAAACACGTGCATCTGTCAAACTTGTGTGTCTGTCCACTTGTCTGCCAATTCGACAACTTCCTAAAGGGCAGGAATGGAGTCTCTTCATTTCTTTTGTTGTCCCCTCCACCAACCTAGTGCCAAACGTTATGAAGTTGCCCACATGGCAGCACCTCTTCTTCCTGCTCACCGCTGGCTTCAGCACCATTTACAGCAGCAGGGATAAGTGGAATTGCCCAACTGGGCACCCTTATTGTTCATGTAAATAGCCCGGGGCCCGGGGACGCTTGCCAAAAGACAAAGGATTAGTGGCCTGTCTAGGACTCCTAACCCAGTGCTGCTTCTTCAGGAACGCTGCTTCTCAGCTTGTTGTGCATCTTGCTCTGAGCTGGCTGTGCATAGGGTAAACTATTGAAGGCTTTATTTTATTTTATTTTATTTTATTTATTTTACTTTATTTTATTATTTATTTTCTTTTATTTTATGTTATGTTATGTTATGTTATTTTACTTTTCGTCTTAGAGTTGTATTTGATTTAATAGGGAGCACTTAAAGGCAAAAGAAAAAAATCTTAAGATCCCTAGAATGAGTCTTAAATAAGAATTATAGGCCTTGTGACAGGCTGGTAGGGAAATATTTTGCTTCCAAGTGACCACCCAACATCCTTCAATTACAAAAGAATACAGTCCTGTGAAATCGATCTGGACACTGGGGCTAGTCGTCCCTTCTCTGGGGCTCTCCAGAGCTGGGCTGTCAGAGTCTCAGAATTACAGAAAGGAAACTGGCTTAATCAAATGAAGATATAGTCTCTTGTGGGAATATTATGCAGTGATAGCATATCGGTTGGTCAAATAACTGCAAATGACATAAGAGAGCTCACATCTATTGCTAAGTGAAGAAAAAAAAAAACTAGGATACAAAAGCATTTTGGAAAAAAAGTATGTGTGCTCAAAGAAAAAGATAGGAAGCAAAAGCACATGTGTATTTACAATGAGAATCTAGGTGCTAACTGGTGATTCGTGGGTGATTTTATTCCCTTTTAAAAAATATATTTTGTATCTTCCAATTTTCTGTTACAAGAATTCTATTTTAAAGGGAAGAAGGAGAAGGACAAGATGGGGTAGGGGTACAAGAGAGAGGGGCAGGGGAGGGGAGGGAAAAGAAGGGGAGGAAGAGGAGAAAGAGGAGGGGAAGGAGATCATGGAATGATCACCTCCTCCCACTGGCCTCAGGGGTTACGCCTTCAGCCAGTGGAAGAGGAAGAGGCTGCTGCTCTGTCCTGTACCCTTTCTTCACTCCGCAAGGCCATGGAAGGTCTGTCAACTGATCCTGCAGCCACGGCATCCCTCCAAGCCCTGTGCATAGCTGAGGAGCTGATTCTATCCATGAGAGAGCCCCACTGTGTCCCTGATGTGTCTTCCTTCCTCTGTCTTTTATCCTCAT